AGATAATTTTAAAGAACGAGCTCCTACCAAACACTCCAATACGTCCATGCTCAGGTACTTTAGGAACTTGTAACTGTTTCTGCAAATCAGCAATGGGGGCACAAATTGTTAAGATATGCTCAGTGCAATGAGTATGCATTTATCATTGTCACTGTTGATGGATGGTTAAATACTGGCCCATGAATTGATATTTATGAAGACTAGATTTGTACCTCAGGAAACGGATGCCTCTGCTGAAAACTGGGTCATCATTCTTAAAGGGAAATGTGGTAATGCAATCTAGAATTAATTCATAGGTAATACTGGTCTATGAAATAAAAGTATAGACATAACAGAAAGTTACCAGAACCTCAATGATATAGGAACATAAACCACTTTAAAATGACAAGAGATACCAACAAAACACAATGAGGAGCTAGATAAAAGTAATTCGTCTTGTTACTGTAGCTCCATGGTTAAGAAACTGGAATTGGCAGCCTAACAACACAGATTAGATCCTGAACCAGCCACTTACTGGAATGTGGCTGGAGGAGTCTTTCAGCCCGTTTTTGTACTACGTTTCCTCATGTGTGAAATGACGATATCATCAGTATTTATTTCAAGAACTGGCAATCCCATCAGTCCTTACACAGAAAGAATTACCTTAAGTGTTACTGATGTAAAGGAAAATGTACAGCAGACATAAGAAATCACTTTTATTTAGACTGGTGTCACTGTGTTCCAGGCTCGTTTCCTACTTCTGGCCTCAAGAGGTCCTCCCACCCCAGCTGCCACTGCACCCAGTCAGAAATTACTAAAGGAACTGTAGAGGGGGTCATGGATAGGGAGGATTAAAATGGGTGACCAGACACACCAGCTCCCAGAGTGTCTAAGAAGTTTTAGATGACAGAGAAAAATGGCCCGTCTCAAAGTCTGGCAGCCATGAGGTGGTTTCAGCAGCAGAACTGGCCCCTGGCAGACACCGCACTCTGGATTTGGGCTCTAAGTATGGCCACAGCTGCACTGCTGAGGGTCAGCACGCCGGGGAACCACATTGTACCACCTGTCTGGAGCAATGCCACTGTGCAGTCGCTAAGCAGCGCCCTGTGTTTATGTGGAGGCCAAGACAGTGGAGGGGCCCTCTTGTAGCTCAGATGGGATTGGCTCAGGGGGCGTGTGGCGTGCTGGACACCTCTCACCTGCCCTTCCCCATGGGAGGGCACCACCCTGGCTACTGCTCACCTGGCCAAGAGGGTGGCCTCACTTCCTTTTCGTTCTGTGTCTTCCGCCATTTCTCTGTTGAATCCCACTATTCTCCCTCAGATGAGGCGGCCACAGGTATCTACACATGATTTTTGATCCTCCCTGAGAGAAGCATGTACCAGCTGCTTCAGGTCCACACCTTGGCTGCTCCCCACAAATCACTTCTGGTCTTACTATGTGGCCCAGGGTGATTTCTAACTCCGGGACTCAAATGATATTCCTGTCTCAGCTTCCCAGAGACTGGGGATATAAGTGTACACCACCTCACCCAGCTTGAAATTATTAAAAAATGTACTTATTAATTTTGGGTGGAAACAAAACCCAAGATTAGTTTCTTGTATGTGAGCATCTGAGCATAGCAGATGCACCCTTATTAACAAACTCCCTAAAGTTTTCACTAGAGTAACACAGGGAAAAATGCATTCAACATACATGCTGGCCTACAATGTATGAAAGAGGAAAGAAATGACAAAAACAAATCATATATAAAGGAGACAATTTTATTAGATGTGAAAATGAACCATTGCATATGCTGCTTAATGCCATACTCTGAAAATGACATTTCCATACTCTCGTTAAAATCCTTTTATTACAATTCCGTACTTACATTATATAATAAACACTTCCACAAAATAATTTTCATTCTCCTGAAAAAAAGATTTTAGGCAGTTTCACTGAATAGTATTTCACAAACATTTTAAACAGTCATACTATGATGACACATAAGTGTGAAGCCAACAAATGAATATAGTAAGCTATTGCCGGGCGCGGTGGCTCACGCCTGTAATCCTAGCACTCTTGGAGGCCGAAGCAGGCGGATTGCTCGATGTCAGAAGTTCAAAACCAGCCTGGCCAAGACTGAGATCCCGTCTCTACTATAAAGAGAATAGAATAGAAAGAAATTAATTGGCCAACTAATATATATAGAAAAAAATTAGCCAGGCCTGGTGGCACATGCCTGTAGTCCCACCTACTTGGGAGACTGAGGCAGCAGGATCGCCTCAGTTTGAGGATACTGTGAGCTAGGCTGATGCCACGGCACTCACGCTAGCCTGGGCCACAAAGTGAGACTCTGTCTCAAAGAAAAATAAAAAAATGAATATAATAAGCTACAAACAGGAGAAAAATTGGGGTCTTTCCTAACCAAGTCGGGAGGTTTCAGGAACAAACAGTGTTACCATAAAAACCCAGACTACATTGTGTGATACTGAATACTAGTACCTTTTACACCTCTGCATTCCCTCTTCCTGTTCTGCCCACCTGGGTCGGCCAACAATGCCTGAGTGCTCCTCCCTCCTTTGGCAGCAGCTGGAAATCAAACATGTGGGTACTGGACCTCCACCCACCCTTAATGATCTTAACACCCCAAGCCAGTCACACATCCCAGTTCCTCTGAAGCCATTTTTGGTCCAGCTGGAAGACTATTGTGCTTCCCTCAGAAAGCCTCACTGTGTGAAAACAGTTCTCTTCTCTCTTCAGTGTACAGCATCCATCTCAATATCCAAACCAGATGTTTAGTGCACACCAATCAAGTTCCCGGGCAGTGCTGAAAAGTTCAACTTAGGAAAAGTGTTACAATATAGGTAGTTCCTAGTTTACCTAGCAAAACAAATTCCCTATTTACTATGGTCATTCAGAAAAGGAAACGCATGAATAATATGTAAAAATTATGTCACTGAGAAACTCAAGGACAAAAATAAACATGTTATTCTTTTTATCCTTACTGCCCATACATTCTTTTATTTCCTAACAACTTCCATATTGCTGTATGTGCATTTCTGCTTTTTTTTTTCCAAGGCAGAGTCTCACTTTGTTGCCCGGGCTAGAGTGAGTGTCGAGGCATCAGCCTAGCTCACAGCAACCACAAACTCCTGGGCTCAAGCAATCCTGCTGCTTCACTATTCCAAGTAGGTGGGACTACAGGCATGGGCCATCATGCCTGGGTAATTTTTTCTATACATATTGGTTGGCCAATTAATTTCTTTCTATTCATAGTAGAGATGGGGTCTTGCTCTTGCTCATGCTGGTCTTGAACTTCTGACCTCAAGCAATCTGACCGCTTTAGACTCCCAGAGTGTTAGGATTACAGGCATGAGCCACCAAGTCCGGCCTGTGCATTTCTGCTGCAGGAAAAAGAAGGTGCATGTCATGCGGTCCTACTTCGCACATGACAGAAGCATGCAGAAATATAATACAGTCCATGTTCATCCACAATGATGCATGTTCAAGGATGTAAGAGTCTGAAACTACACTGCTATACAATTTTCACTGGACACCCGTGAGTATTGTAGGGCAGTGTGGGGAGAATAACGTAAGTAGTAAGAATGATTACCCCAAATCATACTTACCTAAGTATAGGTACCCAAAAGGATATGTTCTTTCATTTCACGGAAAAAAAAAAAAAGGTTTTAGATGCTTCAACAATAAGGACCTAATAGTACATTATTATTGTCTGCTACGAAGTATCCTCCTGAGGGTGGAGTAAGACAATGTTGCTAGAAACACTGTGATTCATTTATAGGTATGAAAAAAATACTAAATTTTCTTAGATTAAATTGAGGGTTTTCATATATTATGAATACTTGATCCTAGCACTCTGGGAGGCCGAGGCAGGAGGATCCCTCAAGATCAGGAGTTCGAAACCAGTCTGAGTGAGACCTCGTCTCTACTAAAAAGAAAAAACAAATAGAAAGAAACTAATTGATCAACTAAAAATATATATAGAAAAAATTAGCCGGGCATGGTGGTGCATGCCTCTAGTCCCAGCTACTTGGGAGGCTGAGGCAAAAGGATGGCTTGAGCCCAGGAGTTTGAGGTTGCTGTGAGCTATGCTGACGCCACGGCACTCACTTTAGCCTGAGCATCAAAGTGAGACTCTGCCTCAAAAAAAAGAGAAAAAAAAAAAAAATAGAAATAAAATACTTGAAGCTTGCAATGCCAAGAAGTAGATGGAAATCCTCATCAAGAACATGCAATACTGGTAGTTTTTATTAAACTGTCTACTCTAATACAACTTTTTTCTCTTCACCTTCAAAAAAACCACAATTTTTTCATCAATCTTTGCTAAATGACAGCTATTGCCATTCCATGGAGAAGGTGACAACCAGTATTGCTGCATTACTCAAACAACATAATTAGTCCTAAAGAACATATTACTCTCTTCCCATAAAATTCCCAGGGTCCAGAAGTTGTGGCCTGTTCCTTCACTGTGAGTTGGTAGAGCATTTCTTTCCTGTAACCCACTGTGTCCTCTTTCAGGAGAAGTGTGTGCTGAATGCATGAGGCGGTAAGACTGGCGGCACAGTTTTACATCATTCTCTGCCCACCGCCATCCTCTCTAAATCAGATAGTACTTAATCGGAAGGGACACGGCACAGTGGCTCACATCTGTAATTCCAGCATGCTGGGAGGACAAGTCTAGTGAATCACTGCAATTCAAAGTTTGAAACCAGCCTGGGGAACATAGTCAGATGTTTTCTCTCAAAAACAACTGATAACAGTCAGCTGGACCTGGTGTGTTATGCCTGTAGTCCCAGCTATAAGGGAGGTAGGGTGGGGAGGACAGTTTGAGCCCAGGAATTAGAGGGTGTAGTGGGCTATGATCACACCACTGCACTTCACCCAGGGGAACAGAGCAAAACTCTGTCTCCACAAAAATAAAAATAAAAAATTAGTCTCAAAAGGGAGTGACATTTCTCTTCCACGAAATGGGAAAGAAATGATTCTCAGTAATCAGCTAACACCTGTCATTCTATTGATTCTTTCCTACACACCACAGCAAAATGCTGGCAAGGAAGGCATGTAAAGAGATTTCAAAGTTCAGGATGAAAGTCATAAAGCATAAAGTAGCCTTCTGAAAGAACATCAAATAATTAAATATAATATAAACTAATATAACTGACCGTGTCCACATGTCCTTGCATCTTTGATATGTATCGTGTCATGAGGGTCAATGTATTTTGATTTATCCCACCAGGTAATATCATAGATTAATAGCAGAGAACTAGGGACTTATTTCTTCTATACATCCTCAGATCGTCCACAGTAATGTTCCTTGGGTATTAGCCTCACAATACACATTTCATTGGTATGGTTTCATTGAAGGTGTACCTTTTGATATGTAGTGAGTGGCGAGGCCTGGATAAAGCCCCTGCCACATACACTGCATGTATTTGATTTCTGTTTAGTATGGACTCTCTGATGTTGATTACTTTTAGAACTCATGGTGAAGAGTTTGCACCCTGAAGGAGTCTGCAGAGTCTCTCACCAATGACTTCTATGATGCTCAGCAAGGCATCAAATGTGACTAAAAACCTTACCTCATACATTGCAATTGTACGGTTTCTCTCCAGCATGGATTCTGTGATGAGTTTTCAGTTTTGATTTTTCACGGAACGCCTTGCCACACTCATTGCATTTGTAAGGTTTCTCTCCACTATGGATTTTGTGATGAGTTTTAAGGTTTGATTTGTCACGGAAGGCCTTGCCACACTCATTACATTTGTAAGGTTTTTCTCCAGTATGGATTCTGTAATGAGTTTTAAGGGTTGATTTCTCACGGAAGGTCTTGCCACATTCATTACATTTGTGAGGTTTCTCTTCAGTATGAGTTCGCTGATGACGTGTAAGGAGTACCTTTTGTCTATAGGCCTTGTCACATTTATCACACTTGTAAGGTTTCTCTCCTGTATGGACTGTGTGATGGTTTATAACGTTTGAATCACTACAGAAGACCTTGCAATATTCGTTACATTTGTAAGGTTTCTGTCCTGTGTGGTTTCTGTGAACTTCAAGGTTTGTGTTCTGACAGACGACCCTGTCACACTCATTATGTTTGTAAGGTTTCTGTCCAGTATGTGTTTCCTGATGAATTGTAAGAGATCTCTTGCGTGTGAAGCACTTGCCGCACTCATTACACTTGTAAGGTTTCTCTCCAGTATGACTTCTAAGATGAGCTGGTAGGGATGATTTGTACCTGAAAACCTTGCCACAATACTCGCATTTGTAAGGTCTCTCTGCATTATGGATAACCTGATGTGTATGAAGCCTCGAACGAAAACTAAATTTTTTGCCGCATTCATAACATTGATAAGGTTTCTCTCCAAAATGGATTGTGTAATGATTTTTAAGGTGTGATTTTTGACGGAAGACCTTGCCACATTCATTGCATTTGTAAGGTTTCTCTCCGGTATGAACACTTGCATGCTGTACAAGGTATGAATTGTAAACAAAGGCCTTGCCACACTCATTGCATTTGTAAGGTTTCTCTCCAGTATGAATTCTCTGATGTCGTTTAAGGTACGAATTGCAAGTAAAGACCTTGCCACATTGATCACATTTGCAATCTCTCTCTGCATTATGGATAAACTTATGTGTATGAAGATTCGAACGCAAACTAAATTTTTTGCCACATTCATAACATTGATAAGGTTTCTCTCCCAAATGGATCATCTGATGATTTCTAAGTTTTGATTTTTGACGGAATGCCTTGCCACACCCAGTGCATTTGTAAGGTCTCTCTCCAGTATGGACACGTGCATGTTCAATAAGGGATGATTTGTAAACAAAGGCCTTGCCACATTCACTACACTGGTAAGGTTTCTTTCCAGTATGAATTGTCTGATGTCGTCTGAGGTATGAATTGCTACTAAAGACCTTGCCACATTCATCACATTTGTAAGATTTCTCTCGATTATGAATTCTCTGATGTCGTGCAAAGGATGAATTACAACTAAGGACCTTGCCACATTCATCACATTTGAAAGGATTATCTGTATGATGGATTCGCACATGGGTTGTAAGTGTTGAACGCACACTAAATGCTCTGCCACACTCATCACACTTGTAAGGTTTCTCTCGAGTATGAATTGTCTGATGTTGAGATGGGTGTATATTTTCAGTGAAGACTTCACCAGGCTCACTGGATCTGTATGGCTTCTCTCCACTATGGATTCTCCAATGTTCCAGAAAGTCTGAATTTTGCCTGAAGGCCTTGCCACACTCTTTACATTTGAAAGGCTTCTTTCCAGTACGGATTACTCCAGGGTTAGGAAGGCTTGAAGAAACACTAAAGGCTTTGCTGTGCTCATTACCTCTGTCAGGTTCTTCTGTAGTGTGTGCTTTCTGTTCTTCTCTAACTATGGGAGAACTGACAAAATCATTCTTATATTTATTAAATCTGTGGGTTTTCAGTGTAGGAGTAAGGTTTTCAAGTGGTGAAAGTGAGGTAATAGGGTTGATAGTCTTGTCAACTTCATTACATTCATAAATTTTCCCTTCAGCTTGAAATAGCTGCATTTCAGGCAGATGGAACTGAAAGCTTAATCCCAGTTCAGTCTTAATACGCTTGTTTCCTCCATCATTTCCCAAGACACAGCTCCACCCTAGGAAAGGAAGAAAAGAGTGGGACTTGAACCTAGGGATCTGGCATTCCTAGAGCTTGAGAAAAAGACTAGCATGTGCCCCACAACACTTGCATATAGAAAGGAGTATCAGGCCGGGCGCGGTGGCTCACGCCTGTAATCCTAGCATCTGGGAGCCAAGGTGTGGATGCGTAAGATAGGAGTTGTAAACCAGCCTGAGCAAGAGAGAGACCCTGCTCTATTAAAATTGAAAGAAATTAATTCGTAATAAAATATATAGACAAAAATAGCCAGGCATGTGTATCATGTGCTATATTCCCAGCTACTTGGGAGGCTGAAGCAGAAAGATCGTATGAGCCCAGGAGTTTGAGGTTGCTGTGAGCTAGGCTGACGACATGGCACTCTAGGCTGGGCACCACAGTGAGACTGGGTCTCAAAAAAACCAACAACAACAACAAAAAATAATGCATCAATTTTTTGTAGAAATACACACTTACACACTTTCAGCATGATGAAGTAAAACCTAAACATACCAGTTAACAAACATTTTGTAGGATCAAATATCTCCCTTTAAAGAATAGTACCAGAACAGGCCGGCGTGTGGCTCACGCCTGTAATCCAGCTCTTGGAGGCCGAGGCGGCGGATTGCTCAAGGTCAGGAGTTCAAAACAGCCTGAGCAAGAGACCCTCTCTACTATAAATAGAAGAAATTAATTGGCCAACTGATATATATAAAAAAATATACCGGGCATGGTGGCGCATGCCTGTAGTCCCAGCTACCGGGAGGCTGAGGCAGAAGGATCACTCGAGCCCAGGAGATTGAGGTTGCTGTGAGCTAGGCTGACCGCACGGCACTCATCCTAGCCTGGCAAACGAGACTCGTCTTCAAAAAAAAAAAAAAAAAAAAAAGAATAGTACAGAAACAGATGACTGCAATGTCAGTCTATCAAACACTGAAAAAGAAATTAACACAAACACTCCCTAAAATCTTCCAAAAATTAACAGGGGAGGGAACGCTTCTAAACTCAATGAGGCCAGTGTTACCTTGACAGCAAAGACAGATAAAGGCCCTACAAGATAAGAAAACCATAGCACAATGTTATTGATTAATCAAATACAAAAGTCCTCAACAAATTGCTGGCAAGACAAACTTTCAGAAGCACACTGAAAATAATCACACATCATGACCAAAAGGGATTTATTCCTGGAATGCATGGGAGTTGCATCTTAGAAACAGCAATCTGTGTCACACTCCAAAACAACACAATAGAGGAAAGACCAAATATTCATCCCAGTTGATGCACAAAGGCCCCAATAAAAATGTCAACAGCAATGCATAATAAAACACTCAGCACACTAGGAATACAAGGAATCTACTTAACATAATAAAGGACACATATAAGAAGCTGACAGCGAACTTCATACTCAAAATTGAACAATAAATGCTCTTCCATTAAGATGAGAAAAAAGACAACCAGAGTCTACTTGCATTATTTCTATAAAACATACAGTTGTCCCTCAGTATGCAGGGAGTGTTAGGTCAGGTCCCCCTGTGACACCACATTCTGGGGATGCTCGTCCATATTTGTGGTTTCTACATCCTCAGGTTCGACTAAACACAGATTGAAAAATATAGTCTGCCTTTGTATCCCTGGGATCCATGTGTGCGGATTCATCTACTGTGGATGGCTGATGTAGGCGTCATTGAATTTGTGCATGCAGAAGCTATGGATATGGAGGGCAAAGTGTAGTTACTGGAATCCTAGCTAAAGCAATGAGAAAAGAGAAAGAAATAACACGCATGCAATTAGAAAAGAAGACATAAAACGATCTTTGTTCAGATGACAATCTTCTACGAAGAAAATCCTAGAAATTCCACAAAAACCTGCTGGAACTAATGAATGAATTCAAAGATACAGGATACGAAATCTACTTAAAATTACTTTCTTTCATATACATTAATATAAACAACACCAAAAAAAATAAGTAAATAGTTTGATTTACCATACCATCCAAAAGAATTAGATACTTAGAAATGAGCTTAACAAGGAGGAAAACGATTTGTAAACAGAAATGTAAGAAATATTACTGAAAGAAATTAGAGGACACACAAATAAATGCAAAACTGTCCCAAGTGCATGCTTTGGAAGACTTGATGTGAAATGTCAATAAAAGACACAATATACCACACATTCAGGGAAATCCTTAGCAAAATCCTAATGAAACTGTATACAAAAAAGAACATATCCTTAAATTAAAAAGAATTCACCACACAATGACCTCAATAGGAAAAGAAACTTCAAAGAATTACAGAGATCTTACATTGCCAGATGACAAAACTCATTACAAAGCTACCTTAATCAAATCAGTACTGTACTGCCATGAAGACAGATGTATGAAACAATGGAACAGAACAGCACTCACAACGAAACTCTTAAATATATGGTCTAATGATGGTCAACTATGGTGACAAGACCATGTATAGGGGAAAGGACAATCCCTTCATCAAACAGTCCTAGGGGCCAGGTACAGTGGCTCACACCTGTAATTCTAGCACTCTGGGAGGCCAAGGGGGGTGGATCCTTTGAGCTCAGGAGTTGGAGACCAACCTGAGCAAGAGTGAGACCCAATCACTACTAAAAAAAAAAAAAATAGAAAGAAATTAGCTGGACAACTAAAAATGTACATAGAAAAACTTTAGGCGGGCATGGTGGCACATGCCTGAAGTCTCAGCTACTCGGGAAGCTGAGGCAGGAGGACTGCGTGCAGAAGTTTGAGGTTGCTGTGAGCTACGCTGAAGCCACAGCACTCTAGCGAGGGCAAGAGAGTAAGACTCTCTCAAGAAAACAGAAAAGTAAAGAAAAGAAAGATTCCTGGCTGGGTGTGGTGGCTCACGCCTGTAATTCTAGCACTCCCGGAGGCCAAGATGGGTGGACTGCTTGAGGTCAGGAGTTCAAAACCAGCCTGAGTGAGACCCCATCTCTACTAAAAATAGAAAGAAATCAATTCACCAAAAATATATATATACAAAAATTTAGCCAGGCATGGTGGGGCATGCCTATAGTCCCTGATACTCGTGAGGCTGAGGCAGTAGGATTGCTCGAGCCCAGGAGATTGAGGTTGCTGTGAGCTAGGCTGATGCCATGGCACTCACTCTAGCCTGGGCAACAAAATGAAACCGTCTCAAAAAAAGAAAAGAAAGATTCCTAAGGAAATTGGATATCCACACGCGAAAGAATGAAGCTGGACCCGTACGTTACACCATATGAAAAATTTTACTTAAAATGGATTCATGATGTAAAAAAGAGACCTAAAATTTTAAAACTCTTAGAAGAAATTATAGGAAAAAAGCTTTACGAGATTGGATTCAACCATGATTTCCTGGATATGACACCAATGCACAGAAAACAAGGTAAAAATACCCACTAGCATGTCTATTTTCAAAACTAATAAGACAAAAATCCCCCTGTAATAGAAAGTATTGGTGAGAACAGGAGAAAGGACAGACTCTAACACTGCTGGTGGGAATGTAAAATAGTGCAAGCTATGGAAACCAGTCTGAAATTTCCTCATATAATTCAAAATTGGGAATTCTCTTATAAGGCAATAATATCACTTCTTGGTATATATTCAAAAAAATTGAAGACAGGATTGTGAGAAGCTATATACAAACCCATGTTAAAAAAACCCACAGGATTATTCAAAACACTCAAGAAGCAGAAGCAACTGAGGTGTTCACTAACAGACAGATGGATAAACAAAATGTGGGACAGGCCAGGGGGGTGGCTCACGCCTGTAATCCTAGCACTCTGGGAGGCCGTGGTGGGTGGATCGCTCAAGATCAGAAGTTTGAAACCAGACTGAGCGAGACTCCGCCTCTACTAAAAATATAAAGAAACTAACTGACCAACTAAAATATATATATACAAAAAAAAATTAGCCGGGCATGGTGGCGCATGCCTATAGTCCCAGCTACTCGGGAGGCTGAGGCAGGATCACTTGAGCTCAGGAGTTTGAGGTTGCTGTGAGCTAGGCTGACGCCACGGCACTCACTCTAGCCTGAGCAACAAAGTGAGACTCTGTCTCAAAAAAAAAAAAAAAGTGGGATATATTAAATATAAAAGAAAAATGTAGATTCTCATTCTTCAAGTGAAGAAAAAAAAAAGAAAAAGAAAAATTATCCAGTCCACAATAAAAAAGCAATCACTTCATATGCTACAATATGGTTTAACCTGGAGAACACTATACTAAGTGAAGCAAGCCTGACATTAAATTACAAATACTCTATGATGTCACTTCTACCGTGTTTCCCCGAAAATAAGACAGGGTCTTCCATTTATTTCTCCTGAAGATGACAACCTAGGGCTTATTTTCAGGGATGTGTTATTTTTTTTAAGTACGGTACAATAATCTACATTTATTCAAACAAAGTCGACGTCTTTTGGAACATCATCATAACTCTCCAAAACCCAAATTCCATCCTGAATTTCTTGCGACTCTATTTCCTTTAGAACCACTGGCCCCATTCTCTCATGTAGAGCCACAGAGATCTCATGGGGCAGATGAGAAGGGCTGCTCATCTTCTTTACTGCTGCCTACCCACGCCCATCACTAGGTCTTATTTTCAGGTAGGGCTTTATTGCTCAAATGCTTAGAAATCCTGCTAGGGTTTATTTTATGTGTAGGTTTTTATTTTCAGGAAAACACAGTATTAGGCATCTGAAATTGTCAAACACATACAAACAGAAAAGGGGAGAGGGAGTGAAAATAGGGTAGAGAGAAGTGACTTTCAATATTCCTGGTAATGAAATAATTCTAAATACAAAGAATGAGAAAAACATGATGCATTTTACCTCTGCTAATCGCATGCAACTTTTTTTTTTTTGAGACAGAGTCTTGCTTTGTTGCCCAGGCTAGAGTGAGTGCCGTGGCGTCAGCCTAGCTCACAGCAACCTCAAACTCCTGGGCTCAAGCAATCCTACTGCCTCTGCCTCCTGAGTAGCTGGGACTACAGGCATGCGCCACCATGCCCGGCTAATTTTTATATATATATATTAGTTGGCCAATTAATTTCTTTCTATTTTTTTTATAGTAGAGACAGGGTCTCGCTCAGGCTGGTTTTGAACTCCTGACCTTGAGCAATCCACCCGCCTCGGCCTCCCAGAGTGCTAGGATTACAAGCGTGAGCCACCTCGCCCGGCCCGCATGCAACTTTAAATACTGTAAAATTTCTTTGAATACAAAAGGGGCATGATGTCAGAGGTACCACCACTTTACATATTAGTAGATATAGAGTTGTGCTTGTGCAATGAATGAAAGCTTATGTGCATGTATCTAAAATCAATAGATCTAACTTCATAATAATCACCAGAAGAGCATGAATAACTACATGGACAAAATTAGTAAGTGACCCACAGTGAGGATGGCTCACATTGAAGGGCACTGTTAGGAGCAGCAAAGAGCAGCAACATACCCTGGCAGTGGTGTGGACACCCATGGACAAGGTCATCAGAAACACAGGCAGCAAATAAGAGCCAGAGAACAACAGGACAGCACCAGGCTGTGGGTTACCAGGGACCAGGAGAACATTACAGGAAAGTCGGATGGAAAGAGTTCACAGAAGCCAGATGACAGGTGTTGTCCCATAGAATCTTTATTCTACTTTCTCCTGGTCTCTGTTTGAGCTGCAGCACCCTTGGAGCGAAAAGGGATAAACTATCACATGTCTAAAGAATAGAGTGGTAAGTCTGGGCAAAGATTTCTGCTTAGAGCTCACAGCATTAAAACTTTGTTTGACCACCTAACTCCCCGACTTGCAAACTTTTCCAAACACTGTTTAATAGTGTGGCTTCCACTGTGCCCACCGGAGCTCTTACCTGAATGCAAACCTGGGATCCTCTCCCCCCCATTTGAGTTTCCTGGTGTTTTCATTTCACTGTCCATAGTCCAGGGATCTTCCCCTTCCTCCAACACAGAGATAACCCTCAGGTCAGGAAGCAAGATTCCTGCTTAAAAAAACAAACAATCAAGATGTGCTATGGCTTTGCCAAAATCCAAGCCCTATATTTAGTTAGGAGAGAGGACATTACAAATGGAACAAGAAACATACTCCACAAATTTATCCACAGATGGCGTCTTTCTGAATGTGTATACAAGTGAGTTATGCAAACATCTAGCTCTCCCCCAGAACTACTGAAATGAAAGGTTGGGAGGAGAAGACAAGGACCTGGACATTTTAAAAGTTTCCTGGAAGGCTTTTTTACATATGGAATCCATTGTACCACAAAATGACATATTAAGAAGAAGACAGAACACTTGAAAAAAGGGGACATTTAAAGTCCAGAAGGCATTACAGAGCTTCAATTTCTGAGGGAATACAACTTCCATCCCAGTCAAGCAATGCAGGGCCTCCCAAGGGGCACACAGAGAAAATGCAGACACACACAAGGCAGATCCCTATGTCGAGAGCCACGTTATCCTCACCCAGGGAGACCAGGTTCCTGTAGTTCTCCAACATCACGGCCCTGTATAAAGCCTTCTGAGCAGAGTCCAGGCACTTCCACTCTTCCTGAGAGAACACTATGGCCACATCCCTGAATGTCAAATGTCCCTAAAATGTAAGACATAGTTCACCAATGAGATGGGAAGAATGCCTCTCTTCACATAAAATGAGAACAGAGCTGTAAAAATTAACTTCATTGAAGTCAGTGTTCTGACAGATCTACATTAATATATTTTTGAGCTCATTATGTGTTTTATAATACATTTCCATAAGAAGTTATAATATTCTCTAAATTAGTGTGGATCTCTAAATTTTTGTGGACAGTACAAGAAAACAAAAAATTAACACAGATTTATCTCCTTTCTCTATAGAGGTGTCAGATGTTCTGTCTGACACAAGGGATATTCAGTATGTACCTGAAATAGAATATGGGGAGTGTTTTTTTTTATTGTTGTTGCTTTTCTTCTTCTTTTCTTTTTTTTTTCTTAATCAAGAAAGAGGAATTGACGCCTTCAAGAGGAATTGAAGGCTAAAAGGGGAGTATCTTAAGATGACTACATCCATAGTGGCTTGTAAAAGATCAGAAAATAAAAACTGGCTGAGCCACTAGGTGGCTCACACCTCTAATCCTAGGACTCCGGAGCCAGAGGCAGGCGGATCATTTGAGCTGAGGAGTCCGAGACCAGCTGCAACAGAAGTGAGAGCCCATTTCTACTACAAATAGAAATTGATTGGCAAACTAAATATACATAGAAAAAACTGGCTGGGCAAGGTGGCACATGCCTGTAGTCCCAGCTACCCGGGAGACTGAGTAGAAAGATCGTTTGAGCCCAGGAGTTTGAGGTTGCTGTGAGTCAGGCTGATGCCACGGCACTCTATGTCGGGCAACACGGTCAGACTCTGTCTCAAAAAAAAAGCAAAAAAAAGAATATAATAACTCTGATGGGGACAGCAGTCGCCATACTAGATATGCTTTTGACCACTCCCATATGCTACGCAGTACTCTAAGTGCTTTACATGTATTACCTGCTCTAGCAACAAGAGCCAAAGGGAGAAAGATCCATTCCCCTCTTACTAAAGAGAGACTGTCTCAGACACACTTAGGAAAAACTCCCCTAAGGTCAATGGGCTAAAAATGGCAGAGTAAGCACTGATCCCAGGTGTCTGGACATTAGGATGAGACCTCATGGTGCAAAGAGTTAAGAAGTAGATCAGTGACATGGCGTGGTGCCTCACGCCCCTAATCCTAGCACTCTGGGAGGCCCAAGAGGGCGATCCTTCAAGGTCAGGAGTTCAAAACCAGCCTGAGTAAGAGAGAGATCCCATCTCTAAAAATAGAAAGAAATTAATTGGCCAACTAAAAATATATAGAAGGCCGGGTGCGGTGGCTCATGCCTGTAATGCTAGCACTCTGGGACGCCGAGGCAGGCGGATTGCTCTAGGTCAGGAGTTCAAAACCAGCCTGAGCAAGAGCGAGACCCCGTCTCTACTATAAATAGAAAGAAATTAATTGACCAACTAATGTATATAGAAAAAATTAGCCGGGTATGGTGGCGCATGCCTGTAGTTCCAGCTACTTGGGAGGCTGAGGCAGAAAGATTGCTTGAGCCCAGGAGTTTGAGGTTGCTGTGAAGGAGGCTGATGCCACGGCACTCACTCTAGCCTGGGCAATGAAGCGAGACTGTGTCTCAAAAAATAAAAAATAAATATATATAGAAAAATTAGCCTGGCATGGTGGCACAGCCTGTAGTCCCAGCTACTCAGGAGGCCAAGGGAGAAGGATTGCTTGAGCCCAAGAGTTTGAGGTTGCTGTGAGCTGTGCTCATGCCACGGCCCTTGAGCCTGGGCCACAGAGTGAGACTCTGTCTCAAAAAAAAAAAAAAGAAACAAAACACCTTGCTAAATGACATGAAGATCTCATGACATATATTATATGTAAATATATGATCTGAAAATTGCAGTATAAAATATCGCAACAAAACATTCACTGAAGAATTTTTTTCCAAGTCGGCATGTGCCTAACGCTTTTAATGCCAGCACTTTGGGAGGTGAGGGGGGACAGACTGAGTCCAGAAGTTCAACTCCAGCCTGGGTAACATAATGAGACCCATCTCTATAAAAAGGAAAAAAAAAAAAATCAACCAGGAACAGTGATGTGTGCCTACACTGTAAGCTACTTGGGAGGCTGAGGTTGGAGGATGGGTTGAGCACAGGAATTTGGGCCTATACAGATCTGAGAATGTGCCACTGCACTCCAGTCTGGATAGCCAGAGATCCGGTGTGGAACACAAAACAAACCAAACAAAAAAGAATACATGCTGGAACCCCATAGACTCTTTGGCATAGAAATACTGAGACTAAATGAACCAATCTGCTGCTCTCAGACATTGATGTTGATGTCATATTTTAAAATAGATGATGGAATAAACCACTCTCACTGATGTCTATCTTTCCATAGTACTCCTGGTGAGAAATAATCTGGCATCGGAAAAACAGCGATTCACTCATTTACCTTGAAAGGTGGTAGAAAATCAGACAGAAAAGATCGCCCCTAGCTGGGTGTGATGGCTAACACCTGCAATCCTAGCACTCTGGGAGGCCAAGGCAGGTGGATTGTTTTTGCTGAGGAATTCAAGAGCAGCCCAAGAAAGAGGAAGACCCTGTCTCTACTAAAAATACAATCAAATTAGCTGGACAACTCAAAGTATATAGAAAAAATTAGCCAGGCATGGTGGCGCATGCCTGTAGTCCCAGCTACTCCGGAGGTTGAGGCAGAGGGATCACTGGAGCACAGGAGTTTGAGGTTGCTGTGAGCTAGGCTGATGCCATGGCACTAACTCTAGAACAGGCAACACACTCAGACTCAGTCTCAAAAAAAAAAAGAAAAACCAGAAAAGATCTCCCCTAACAGGTCTCCTTTTCCAGGAGACCTGTTTCCATTCAGCATGCTAAGCCCTGACTTCCAAGTGCAGCTTGTCTAACGCTGCTCTGCAGAGAGCTGACAGGACACCCAGAAGTGGCCCCTGAACAGTCCCTGCTGCTCAACAGCACTGACACGACGGGGCCACAGCGCCTCTCTAACCTATGTCATGGTGTGAAGCCCTTCCCAGGACTGTGCCCAATGGAGCCGTTTCACCAGGTCATGTGACTAGGTCACAGTGACATGGAATCAAAGTGGAGATGAGAGGCACTGAAGGCAGGCATGGGTGAGTGGGAGCAAACATGTCAGTGACAATGGCTCAGAGTCAGAGAAGACTAGCAACTCCAATGCCCGGCATTTGAGAGGAAGAAGACACAGAAGGATCCACAAAGATTGTTACTTTACCTGAGTAACAGCCATTCCTGACTCCTTTTCTTTCCTCTTCCTCCTGATCTGGGATTCTTCCTCACCCATCATCAATCTTTAAAAGTCAATCCTGAATGTCAAAAATATGCTGTTCAATGCTGAGAATCAACACACGCCCCCTCTGTGCCACAATCCATGAAGAGCAAAAGACGTCCCATGTAAAAAGATGGTCTTTCCTGTCCATTACACCAAGGGGGATGCAGGGACAATAAACTCATAGGTGACGATCAACTGGTGGATCCATGACCCCTTTGATCAGAACTGGCTCCCCTCCTGGTGAAGCCCACACTCAGGCTGCAGCAGCAGGGAGCTGGGCTGGGCTGAGCTGAGCTCCCCTGCTGGGCACAGATATGGCCCTGACCAAACCCAATGCAGAGCACAGTCCCCCTCCCCCCTCCAGGAATCACAGGCTGATTTCAGTCTTCGGAAATGGAGGACACAGACGGGTGGTTATCTACCATGAAAACAAAGTCGCATCAACTCTAAATACTCTTCAGCCTGGGCCCACCCTGACTATGTGGAGTGCAATCTCTGGTAAGGAGACAAAATAAGTATTTGCTAAACGCCTCAGCACCCTAATGTGACGCCGGGGTGAGCTCTACTCAGAGGGGCAAGGCCAGGATCCCTCCCTGCTTCTGACTCTGCTCTTCTCTTTGCCACTTGTTGTCACCAGGGTCCACACACTGAAAGGTGAAGGACCAAGAAGAAACTTGCAGAGCAGCCAATATGGACCACAGGTGGGGGTCAAGGTGTGGCTGGAATGTTAAATGGGGTCAGGGATAACAGAAGTCCTCTCTGAGAAGGTGACATCAGAACAAAGACCTGGGGAAGGAAGGGTGCTTCTTACATGCAGCCAGTGGTTCTTACATGCAGAGAGTTCTAGGCAGAGAGACAGCCCAGGAGAAGACCCTGAGGCAGGAGCAACCGTGGAAAAGGGAAGAGGCCTGTGTGGCTGGAGCAGGGCCAGCGAGGACGACACAAGCAGGAGATGAGGCCAGAAGGGTCCTGGGGGAGCACAGCAGGGAGGGCCCAGGTCTGCAAACTTACTTCTCCCACGTCTCAAGAGAATTTCAAGACAATGTATTTCCACACTTCTTTTAAGTAATCACGCAATTTTTTTCTTTATTTCATACAAAAATTGTCCTATATATCTTAAATATATGACAAGAAATTCCACTAAGCTCCAGGAATTACAGGGTCCTCCCAATCTGAGATGTGAGGACTGCAGGGGTACGCGTTTAGGAGAGCTCAGAAAGTCCCTCTTGGATATAGGAAGAGGCAGATGATGACAGACGTCCCAGCACCAAGTTAAGGACAAAACTGGGCCTAGCTCTCTGGAGTTCAGGGGCGGGGACTGCAAGGGAAATGGAGACAAGTCAGAGGAGTTTAAACCACCAGATGTGATGATATGGAAAGACAGATATGACAAGAGGTTCAAGAACTAAATGATGGGACACTCCCACATTCAGAGAATGCAGTTTAGGAGATACCAGCAGAGGAAACTGGTAAGACATGAAGGTGACAAGAAAAATCTAAAACAAAGTAATTTTCAAAGTTTAGAGAGATGTCCCCAAACGGAAGAAAAAAAAAGGAATGATGAGTTATGCAACAAGCTGTAGACAGGAAAGATTAAGACAGGAAATTAAAAAGTGGATTTAGAAATGCAAAGGTCACTTGTGTCTGAGAAAGAAATGATCATGGAATGTGCAAGCTTGCTTCAAAGGGGTAAATGAAGAATTCGAGGTTAAAATTAAAGACAGGTGACATAACCAAGATTTTAAAGTTTGTGCTGAGGGAGGAAATGTCTTCCCTTTAATGTTTCCCATAGAAAAAAACTAATCTTACTCAACACAGAATATTTTACCTCCTCTAATGTGTGTGACGTTTTTCCCAAAGTGGCCAGTTCTCTGAGACACTTCCACCTGGCTGCCCTACAATTTAACTCAATCTTGATACTATAGACCTGTACATACCATCAGATCTCACAGCTTAAGGACTAAGTCCCAAAGACTGTCTCTCCATTCTGATGCAGATAAATGTCATGATTTCCAAAACCCCCTCCTCGGTTTTTATTAATTTGTGATAATTGTTCTTACTTCTGGGTGTTATGCTTGTAATACCCTTTATAACAAATGAGTAAACATAACTAAAATGTTTCTCAGAGTTTGTGAACAGCTGTATCGAATTAATAAAATGTGAAGAAAGGGTCATGAAATACCCAATTTGATAGTAGTTCAGTGAGAAGTACAGGGCCCAACTTGGGATCTGGGACTGGCATCTGATGTGAGGCACTTCTGTGCAACTGAGCCCTACATCTCTGGATTGGATCCTATCTCCAGGTAGTGTGATAACCGACTTATCTTACAGAACACCCTGTCGGTGCTGGCTGGAGAACTGGATGCTGATGAGGAGTAATCCACACACAGTTTACTGACCAGAGGAGAAGTATTCTGCGTTGAGTGCTCACTACTGTATTGATTGTGGGAGTAGGAAAAACACTTTGCGTTTTCTCGTATCTTATACACTGCCCCACTCCCTATCCCATCTTAGGAAAAAGGATGACACTGACCCACAACTGAATGAGTCAAGTCACCGCCCTTTGCTGAATCCAGGCTATAAGTGGGAGGGAGCCTGTGATGCTCAGAATGGTTTAATACCCCAACCTTATACACAGGAGATGTGCAATTCTGAACTTCATCTGTGTACTGCCAACAAATGCTAAAGTGATTAGATTACAAATAGAGGAAACGATGTCACAACTTAATCACCACACCCAATCATCTCAAGAGTCATCTGCAGCCAGGGTCCCCTCTTTCTTCAGTACTGTGTGTTTCCCTCCCTCACTCCGGACATATCTCTCATTCTCATGCACCTCCTCTCTTCTGCTCTTGTTTTCCTTTTCTCCTTGGTGCTTCCTCCTGGGCTTCGGCTCATTTTGTTCCCCTCTTCTCTCCTGCTCCTTCTCCCCTTCTTCCCTCTACTGCTTCTCTTTACCTGTTATGCTCTACTCTCGGAACTTTTTAAGCCTTTGTTGCTCCTTCTCCCCAGTCTTTTCACTGTCCCAATCACATGTATTTCTGCCTCTTTCTTCCCATGTCTGCTCCCTCTCTGCTCTCCCGGTCAATTTCCCTCTTCCCTAGGACACCCCCTTGTCCCACTCTCTGGCATCCCCAGCTGTGGTGCCCTCTCTGCTCTACTGTCACCAGGTGCTCCCTCTTCTACTCTGTTTGGCCTGGCTGCAAATCATAGGTCCCCTCCCCCACTCTCTGACTCAGGTGCCTCACCTTGCTGCCCTTGGCCCTAGTCTGCTGTCCTTCAGAGCTCAGGAGATCTAGATTTTATCTAATTTGCTTCAGGGACTTTTCTCCCCGGGCTAGTTCCCAGCTTCTGATTTCACTCTTCCTGTGTCTTTGCAAATCCCTCCCACACCCTCTACTTTGCAGCGTGTTCATGTGCTTCTCCTTCTTCCTTTCTCTTTCTACATTCTTCTATTTCCTCTCTCTTGCTGTCCATCTCTTTCTCCACATATTCACACGGAAGGCATAGGAAAACCATGCTCAGCTCCAGAAGAGCACATTTTCTAGTGGGAGGAATGTGGGATGGAAAACATTGAGTGTCACAACACAGGCCCTGGTCCCCTCCCCCAACGCAGAATCCCAGGAAGGGGTGACTGGTAAGAGGCCTGCGGAGCAGAAGGGCCCGGCCCAAGGAGGAGGTGGAGGGGAGCAGATTAGGAGAGAAGTGGGGTCCGCAGAATCCCTGGACCAGGGAGAAACGCGGCTTCTCCAGGCCTGGGGCTGCGGCGCCGCCCTCCAGGGGTCGGCCAGGGCGAGGCTGGGGGACCCGAAGGGCCTGGACCCACCCTCAGGTGAGGACTTTACGGGGGCGGAGCGAGCGTTAGGGGTCACCGAATAGCTTTCAGCAGGGAAACAGTCCGGAAAGCGCGGTCTGCAGGGCCCGAAGGCAGAAAGGTCGGGCGCAGGACCCGCCTCAGGTGGACTCTAACTCACAGGGAAGCGACACCCGACTCTCCGGGACGTTCACATTCACTCGGGGGCAGAGGGCGGTGAGGATTTCAGGGTCTGAAGGTCCCCCGCTCCCAGGTACAGAAGTTCTGGAAAGTGCTCAGGGGACAAAGGGAAACTCACCTGCCACAGGGTGGCCGTCTCTCCACGCCAGCGTCTTCCGGGTCTGCGGGAAAGTGCGCGCGCAGGCGAGGCCGGGGCGGGGCCGCCAGGGTGGGCGGGGCCGGGGCGGGGCCGAGGCGGCGGCTGGGCGGGGCCTGCGCGTCCTGCCACCTGGCTCCTGTCTGCTCCACTTTTCTGCATTCGGGAGGCCAAACCTACCAGGGAGGCTACTGCAATTCAGCGGTCTGGGAACTGGAATCTGGATGGCGGCGTCAGCGTGGGTTGGTTTGAATCCAGGAGAGTTCCTGCAATTAAAATTAAGTTTAGCAATTAAGTTTTCTGTAAAGCACAGGCAAACGAAAATGTGTATCGCAAAACCCTGCCTGGGCGGAAGGTGGCATTTCATGCTGATGCCCAACACAACACAGGAGAAATCCTTTCCGTTTCTAGTCCCCGTTCACTCCGGTGGGAGAGTCAGGCCGAGCTCAGTTTCAGAGACTTTCACAAGGACCACACCCAGGGCGTGGAGGGCTAAGGTCAGTGACAAGTTAGGTCACCAAGTATTCCTTTAAAAAAGGCAATAACTTAAATATAGGTAGAAATTAGGTAGTTGTTCCTTACACTTATTACTCCCTTACACTCTTGAGAGGAGGTAACAAATACCTGTCAGATAAATTTTGCTGACATCATAATATGTTCACATCAGTATCTTGTAAATGCATGTAAGTGCATTATGAAAGTAATTAGGAAGAAAACATACTTTTATTTAAAAATTCAAATAGATTTTAGGTCTTTTGTTTTCTCCTTTTCAATACTCTGGCAGGAGTGGAAAACAAAGCCTGTAAAATCATCTTCAGAAGACCATTGGATATATTGACATAAACAATGATGAATTCTGCAATATTTCTAAGTGTATGGAATAGACACATTATCCTCTTTTATGGAACGCTTAAGAAAGTTTATCAAAATTTAAGTAGCCTCATGTCTGCCAACAATAATTTTATAGCAATGTTTTTGAATGAACATATAGCAGTAAGTATGTTTTTCTCTGACATCCTTAGTTGGGAAGGCTTCCTCCATCCTAAGGTGGTAATTAGTGGAAACATGATTTTTAGAAATGAAAATTACCATTATTAACATATTAGCAGCTTAAAATGAACAGAATTTACTGGCATAGCATAGGGATGAATGTGAGATGTCAATATTTCATTATTATTATTATATTTGTTTTGTTTGAGAAACAGGGTTTCCCTATGATTTTTAGGCTGGATTTGAATGTTTCCCCTGAAGTAATTCTTCCACTTTAGCCTCTCAGGAGTAGCTAGTACTACAGGTGAATGACAATTTGACCACTATCATCATATTTTCTTTGTTGTTTGTTTATATATTTATTTATTTTTGAGACATGAGAATGCTCTGTCTCCCCGGCTAGAGTACAGGGGTACAATCATACAATACTGCAAACTGAAACTCCTGGGCTCTAGCAATCCTCCAGCCTCAACCTCCTAGTGTGCTAGGATTACAGGTGTGAGCCACTGTGCCCGGCCTCAGCAAATTATTAAAGTTTCAAAAAACATTTGCAAACTACAAACTACTTTCACCTATTGAGTACGTATTATAGCTTCTGCCACAAAAAGAGAAAAGAATATACATATACATATTCTAACACAGATGGAACGAGGAAAATATTTTCCTGTATAAAAAGAGAAATTCAACTTCAGTCTAGAAGAAATTGTATTGAAAAGATTACAATAGGGGGAATGCTCCAAAAATGAGCTCCCCAAACATTCAAGAGTCACACAGAAGAGACCTCTCTTTAAGATGGAAGAAGAAACAGGCTAGGAACGACCAGGCATGGGGCAGAGCATGAGCAGCGGGCATGACCTACACTTCATCAGGGAATGTTTTGTCCTAAGCCTGGTCTTGGGAGGGCTTGCAAGGAGGAGAGGGTGGTCATTTCACTGACCAAGACTGTCCAAAGTTCAGGGATCTGGGAGGAGGAGGAAAGCCTGAGGTTTGGTAAGTCAAGTTAGCCAGAATTTTTCATTAATCATTGAGGACAAACAATTCAATAATCCTTGATAAGAAGAAGGATGGGAATTTGAAGGATCTGTCTCTGGATTTTACCTTTGTAAATAAGGGAGCTATCATTAGACTTAATGAAGTGCTGTGAGGAGTGTGGTTCTTTGCAGTGGGCCATTTCTACAAGAACCAAAAGGTGGGTGGAAGGAAGGGGAGGTATGGTTGTTTTTACACTCTCTTCCCTCCTAGGAGTATCACCATGTATTATAACATGAGCAATATTCAAGAATGAACGCATGTCATATTTTACAAATGGACCATTGGAAAATGTAAAGTAGTCCTGGAGCGGTGGCTCACGCCTGTAATCCTAGTACTCTGGGAGGCCCAGGCGGGCGGATTGCTCAAGGTCAGGGGTTAAAAACCAGCCTGAGCAAGAGGGAGACCGGTCTCTAGTATAAATAGAAAGAAACTAATTGGCCAACTAAATATACACACACACACACACACACACCAGCCGGGCATGGTCGTACATGCCTGTAGTCCCAGCTACTCGGGAGGCTGAAGCAGGAGGATTACTTGAGCCCAGAAGTTTGAGGTTGCTGTGAGCTAGGCTGATGCCACGACACTCTAGCTCGGGCAAAAAAAGTGAGACTGTGTCTCAAAGAAAAGCAGAAAAGAAAATGTAAAGTAAAAATAACAATAGCAATAAACTTACCCACACTTCGGTCTTTAAATGGCACTGAAGGGCCCTGAATATTCACTTACCTTGTGGGGTCTGTTCCTGGCACATATAGAAAACATTGCTAACTGTTAAAAGATATGACTTTTCAAGTTGAGTGATGAGGAGAAAATTAAGGAAAAGAAAAAGAAAGATGTGGTTATAAATCCCAAAGTCAGAGGGCTATGTAATCATTAAATTCAATAATACCTAGAGTTATTTTCAGGAAAATATTTTTCTCTTTTACATTTTCCTGCTGATCATGGAAAAAAACATGCACACAGCTGCGTGAATTCTTTGGTCATAATTAGATAACACAAGTAGTAATTAAAAGGTAACATCAACATAATAGTCAAAAACTAAGTTGTCCTGATATCCCCGCCGGGCGTCGCAGGGAGAGCGTCTGAGGTCTGGAAGATCTCCAGCGTTTGTACTATTGCTTACCCTGTCTGCAGGATAGTCCTCCCTTCCTTAAGGAGCTTGGTATCAGCGAGCAAAGGAGATTCATCAACCCAGGAAGCAAGACACCATTACCGTTAACTTTGAGCAGGCTGGTTGTGTTCAGGTATGAACATGAGAAATTTTCAGGTTTTATATCAACCCGAAGCTGGCTATCAGCTTTAGGGACTTTCTTTCTTTTTTTTTTTTTTTTTTGAGACAGAGTCTCACTTTGTTGCCTAGGCTAGAGTGAGTGCCGTGGCGTCAGCCTAGCTCACAGCAACCTCAGACTCCTGGGCTCAAGCGATCCTTCTGTCTCAGCCTCCCAAGTAGCTGGGACTACAGGCATGCGCCACCATGCCCGGCTAATTTTTTCTATATATATTAGTTGGCCAATTAGTTTCTATTTATAGTAGAGACGGGGTCTCGCTCTTGCTCAGGCTGGTTTTGAACTCCCGACCTCGAGCAATCCGCCCGCCTCGGCCTCCCAGAGAGCTAGGATTACAGGCGTGAGCCACCGCGCCCGGCAGCTTTAGGGACTTTCTGTCCTGATCTTGTCCTACATGGAGGAGAATGAAGAACAACAAAACAACATCGAAGTTGTTTCTTTCAATCTTTTGCCTTGTTTCTGTAGCTCCATGGTTAAGAAACTTGAATTCGCAGCCTAACAACATAGATTAGATCCTGAGCCAGCCACTTACTGGAATGTGGCTGGAGGAGTCTTTCAGCCCGTTTTTGTACTACATTTCCTCATGTGTGAAATGACGATATCATCAGTATTTATTTCAAGAACTGGCAATCCCATCAGTCCTTACACAGAAAGAATTAATAAACACTTACCTTAAATGTTACTGATATAAAGGAAAATGTACAGCAGACATAAGAAATCACTGTTTAGACTGGTGTCACTGTGTTCCAGGTTGGTTTCCTACTTCTGGCCTCAAGAGGTCCTCCCACCCCAGCTGCCACTGCACCCAGTCAGAAATTACTAAAGGAACTGTAGAGGGGGTCATGGATGGAGAGGATCAAAATGGGTGACCAGACACACCAGCTCCCAGAATGTCTAAGAAGTTTTAGATGACAGAGAAAAATGGCCCGTGTCAACGTCTGGCAGCCATGAGGTGGTATCAGCAGCAGAACTGGCCCCTGGCAGACTCTGCACTCTGGATTTGGGCTCTAAGTATGGCCACAGCTGCACTGCTGAGGGTCAGCACGCCGGGGAACCACATTGTACCACCTGTCTGGAGCAATGCCACTGTGCAGTCGCTAAGCAGCGCCCTGTGTTTATGTGGAGGCCTAGACAGTAGAGGGGCCCTCTTGTAGCTCAGATGGGATTGGCTCAGGGGGCGTGTGGCGTGCTGGACACCTCTCACCTGCCCTTCCCCATGGGAGGGCACCACCCTGGCTACTGCTCACTTGGCCAAGAGGGTGGCCTCACTTCCTTCTATTTGTTCCGTGTCTTATGTCTCTGTAGAATCCCACTATTCTCTCTCAGACCACGCGGCCACAGGTATCTACACACAATTTTTGATCCTCCCTGAGAGAACCATGTACCAGCTGCTTCAGGTCCAAACCTTGGCTGCTCCCCACAAATCACTTCTGGTCTTACTATGTGGCCCAGGGTGATTTCTAACTCCGGGACTTAAATGATCCTCCTGTCTCAGCTTCCCAGAGACTGGGGATTATAAGCGTCCACCACTGCACCCAGCTTGAAATTATTAAAAGAAAATGTTCTTATTAGTAATTTTGGATGGAAACAAATCTATTGGGTGCCAGTTCTCATGGTACACGCAACAAAAACATCGTTTTCCTGAAAGATTCTCACTCTGAAACGAAATACCATCTAGTGGCAAGTGGCAGAATGGCCTCCGGGCATTCAGCAATGGAGGTCATCTCCCTGTCACAAAGTTAAAATACGGGGCGTTTTCCATCTTATCACCTGTTCATTTACCTCTGCAGATGCTGATTAACCTCCACAATTTGATTTTCAAGTATCTTGATGTTACATAAGGCCCACAATATGAAATTACAGTTCACTACCTTGTATTGTTCCAATGCTTTCCCCACAGACTTTAAGAGGCACTGCTTTTTCATTTATAGAGAATTTAGCTTTTACCTACCATTGTCCTGTGTGCATACACACGACACAAAATCTCTCTTCAAATAGTGCCCTTATTAACAAACTCCCTAATTTTTTCACTAGGGTAACACATGGAAAAATGCATTCAACATACATGCTGGCCTACAATGTATGAAAGAGGAAAGAAATAACCAAAAAAATCATATACAGAGCAGAAAATTTTATTAGACGGGAAAATGAACCATTGTATATGCTGCTTAATACCATACTCTGAAAATGACATTTCCATACTCTCAGAAAAATCCTTTTATTACAATTCCATACTTACATTATATAATAAACACTTCCACAAAATAATTTTCATTCTCCTGAAATATTTTAGGCAGTTTAACTGAATAGTATTTCACAAACATTTAAACAGTCGTACTATGATGACATATGTGTGAAGCCAACAAAGGAATATATATTAAGCTAAAATCAGGAGAAAAATTGGGGTCTTTCCTAAAGACCAAGTCGGGAGTTTCAGGGACAAACACTCAGTGTTCCCTTATTTACTCAGACTACATTGTGTGATACTGACTACTAGTATCTTTTACACCTCTGCATTCCCTCTTCCTGTTCTGCCCACCTGGGTCGGCCAACAATGCCTGAGTGCTCCTCCCTCCTTTGGCAGCAGCTGGAAATCAAACATGCGGGTACTTGACCTCCACCCACCCTTAATAATCTTAACACCCCAAGCCAGTCACACATCCCAGTTCCTCTGAAGCCATTTTTGGTCCAGCTGGAAGACTATTGTGCTTCCCTCAGAAAGCCTCACTGTGTGAAAACAGTTCTCTGGGAATAAGACAATGTTGCTAGAAACACTGTGATTCATTTATAGGTATGAAAAAAATACTAAATTTTCTTAAATTGAGGGTTTTCATATATTATGAATAAAATACTTGAAGATTGCAATGCCAAGAAGTAGATGCGAATCTTTATCAAGAACACGCAATCCTGGTAGCTTTTATTAAACTGTCTACTCTGATACAACTTTTTTTCTCTTCACCTTCAAAACAATACAATTTTTTCATCAATCTTTGCTAAATGACAGCTATTGCCATTCCATGGAGAAGGTGACAACCAGCATTGCTGCATTACTCAAACAACATAATTAGTCCTAAAGAACATATTACTCTCTTCCCATAAAATTCCCAGGGTCCAGAAGTTGTGGCCTGTTCCTTCACTGTGAGTTGGTAGAGCATTTCTTTCCTGTAACCCACTGTGTCCTCTTTCAGGAGAAGTGTGTGCTGAATGCATGAGGCGGTAAGACTGGCGGCACAGTTTTATATCATTCTCTGCCCACAGCCATCCTCTCTAAATCACGCAGTATTTAATAGGAAAGGACACAGCATAGTAGCTCACATCTGTAATTCCAGCATGCTGGGAGGACAAGTCTAGTGAATCACTGCAATTCAAAGTTTGAAACCAGCCTGGGGAACATAGTCAGACTTTTTCTCTAAAAGACAACTGATAACATTCAGCTGGACCTGGTGTGTTATGCCTGTAGTCCCAGCTATAAGGGAGGTAGGGTGGGGAGGACAGTTTGAGCCCAGGAATTAGAGGGTGCAGTGGGCTATGATCACACCACTGCACTTCACCCAGGGGAACAGAGCAAAACTCTGTCTCCACAAAAATAAAAATAAAAATTAATCTCAAAAGGGAATGACATTTCTCTTCCAGGAAATGGGATAGAAATGATTCTCAGTAATCGGCTAACACCTGTCATTCTATTGATTCTTTCCTACACACCACAGCAAAATGCTGGTAAGGAAGGCATGTAAAGAGATTTCAAAGTTCAGGATGAAAGTCATAAAGAATAAAGTAGCCTTCTGAAAGAACATCAAATAATTAAATATAAGGCTGGGCGCGGTGGCTCATGCCTGTAATCCTAGCTCTCTGGGAGGCCGAGGCGGGCGGATTGCTCAAGGTCAGGAGTTCGAAACCAGCCTGAGCAAGAGTGAGACCCCGTCTCTACTATAAATAGAAACAAATTAATTGGCCAACTAATATATATAGAAAAAATTAGCCAGGCATGGTGGTGCATGCCTGTAGTCCCAGCTACTCGGGAGGCTGAGGCAGCAGAATCGCTTGAGCCCAGGAGTTTGAGGTTGCTGTGAGCTAGGCTGATGCCAGGGCACTCACTCTAGCCTGGGCAACAAAGTGAGACTCTGTCTCAAAAAAAAAAAAAAAAATTAAATATAATATAAACTAATATAAGTGACCATGTCCATATGTCCTTGCATCTTTGATATGTATCGTGTCACGAGGGTCAATGTATTTTGATTTATACCATCACGTAATATCATAGATTAATAGCAGAGAACTAGGGACTTATCTCTTCTATACATCCTGAGATGTTGCACAGTAATGTTCCTTGGGTATTAGCCTCACGATACACATTTCACTGGCGTGGTCTCATTGAAGGTGTACCTTTTGATGTGTCGTGAGTGGTGAGGCCTGGATAAAGCCTCTGCCACATACACTGCATGTATTCTGTTTAGTACGGACTCTCTGATGTTGATTACTTTTAGAACTCATGGTGAAGAGTTTGCACCCTAAAGGAGTCTGCAGAGTCTCCCACCAATGATTTCTGTGATGCTTAGCACAGCATGAAATGTGACTAAAAACCTTACCTCATACATTGCAATTGTAAGGTTTCTCTCCAGTATGGATTCTGTGATGAGTTTTCATTTTTGATTTTTCACGGAACGCCTTGCCACACTCACTGCATTTGTAAGGTTTCTCTCCAGTATGGATTCTGTGATGAGTTTTAAGGTTTGATTTGTCACGGAACGCCTTGCCACACTCATTACATTTGTAAGGTTTTTCTCCAGTATGGATTCTGTGATGAATTTTAAGGGTTGTTTTCTCACGGAAGGTCTTGCCACATTCATTACATTTGTGAGGTTTCTCTCCAGTATGAGTTCGCTGATGACGTTTAAGAAGTATCTTTTCTCTAAAGGCCTTGTCACATTTATCACACTTGTAAGGTTTCTCTCCTGTATGGATTGTGTGATGATTTTTAAGGTTTGATTTGCGACGGAAGACCTTGCCACATTCAGAACATTTGTGAGGTTTGTCTGCAGTATGAGTTTGCTGATGACGTATAAGGCATGTCTTTTGTCTAAAGGCCTTGTCACATTTGTCACACTTGTAAGGTTTTTCTCCTGTATGGATTGTGTGATGATTTTTAAGGTTTGATTTTTTACGAAAGACCTTGCCACATTCACTACATTTGTGAAGCCTCACTACAGTATGCACACACTGATGTCGTGCAAGGGTTGAATTGTAATTGAAGAGCTTACCACATCCGTTACATTTGTAAGGTTTCAGTCCTGTGTGGTTTCCATGAACTTCAAGGTTTGTGTTCTGACAGACGACCTCGTCACACTCATTAAGTTTGTAAGGTTTCTGTCCAGTATGTGTTTCCCGATGCATTGTAAGAGATGTCTTGCGTCTGAAGCACTTGCCGCACTCATTACACTTGTAAGGTTTCTCTCCAGTATGAATTCTAAGATGAAGTGGTAGGCATGATTTGTACCTGAAAACCTTGCCACAATACTCGCATTTGTAAGGTCTCTCTGCATTATGGATAACCTGATGTTTATGAAGCACCGAACGAAAACGAAATTTTTTGCCACATTGGTAACATTTGTAAGGTTTCTCTCTCAAATGGATCATCTGATGATTTTTAAGTTGTGATTTTTGACGGAATGCTTTGCCACACCCAGTGCATTTGTAAGGTTTCTCTCCAGTATGAACACGTGCATGTTCTATAAGAGATGAATTGTAAATAAAGGCCTCGGCACATTCACTACATTGGTAAGGTTTCTCTTGAGTATGAATTGTCTGATGTCGAGATGGGTGTATATTTTCAGTGAAGACTTCACCAGGCTCACTGGATCTATACGGTTTCTCTCTACTATGGATTCTCCAATGTCTCAGAAAGTCTGAAATTTGCCTGAAGGCCTTGCCACACTCTTTACATTTGAAAGGCTTCTTTCCAGTATGGATTACCCCATGGTTAGGAAGGCTTGAAGACACACTAAAGGTTTTGCTATGCTCATTACCTCTGTAGAGTTCTTCGGTAATGTGTGCTTTCTGTTCTATGACAGAACTGACAAAATCATTCTTATACTTATTAAATCTGTGGGTTTTCAGTTTAGAAGTAAGGTTTTCAAGTGGTGAAAGTGAGGTAACAGGGTTGATAGTCTTCTCCACTTGATTATAATCATAAATTTTCCCTTCAGCTTGAAATAGCTGTATTTCAGGTTGATGGAACTGAAAGCTTAATCCCAGTTCAGTTTTAATGGGCTTGTTTCCTGCATCATTTCCCAAGACACAGCTCCTCCCTAGGAAAGCAAGAAAAGAGTGGGACATGAACCTATGGATCTGACATTCCTAGAGTCTGAGAAAAAGACTAGCATGTGCCCCACCTGACTACCATATAGAGAGGAATATCAGGCCAGGCGTGGTGGCTCACGCCTGTAACCCTAGCACTCTGGGAGGCTGAGGCGAGTAGATTGCTCAAGGTTAGGAGTTGGAAACCAGGCTGAGCAAGAGTGAGACCCTGTCTTTACTAAAAATAGAAAGAAATTAATTTGTGAACTAAAAATATATAGAAACAATTAGCTGGCATGGTGGTGCATGCTATAATCCCAGCTACTCGGGATTCTGAAGCAGAAAGATCGCTTGAGCCCAGGAGTTTGATGTTGCTGTGAGCTAGGCTGATGCCATGGCACTCTAACCTGGGCAACAGAGTGAGACTCTGTCTAAAAAAAAAAAAAAAAGTAATGAATCAATTTGTAGAAATACACCACTTACCAACACTTGAGCATGCAGAAGCAGAAACTCTAAACACACCAGTTAACAAAGACATTCATTCAGTGATCAGATATCTCCCTTTAAAGAATAGTACAGAAATAGATGACTGCAATGTCAGTCTATCAAATATTGAAAAAGAAATTAACACAAATACTCCTTAAAATCTTCCAAAATTAACAAGGGGAACGCTTCTAACTCAATGAGCCAGTGTTACCTGGACTGCAAAGACAGATAAAGGCCCTACAAGATAAGAAACCCATAGTGCAATATTATTCATTATTCAAATGCAAAAGTCCTCAACAAATTGCTGGCAAGACAAACTTTCAGAAGCACATTGAAAATAATCACACATCATGACCAAAAGGATTTATTCTGGATGCAAGGGGTTGCATTTAAGAAACAACAATTGTGTCACACTCCACACACACAATAGCAGGAAGACAATATTTCATCAGTTGATGTACAAAAGCCCCAATAAAAATGTCAACAACAATGCATACTAAAACACTTCACACACTAGGAATACAAGGATCAGTTAGCATGTAAGGCCATATATAAGAAGCTGACAGCAGGCCGGGCGTGGTGGCTCACGCCTGTAATCCTAGCTCTCTGGGAGACCGAGGCGGCGAGTGCTCGAGGTCAGGAGTTCGAAACCAGCCTGAGCAAAGCGAGACCCCGTCTCTACTATAAATAGAAGAATAATTGGCCAACTAAATATACAAAAAATTAGCCGGACATGGTGCAAATGCCTGTAGTCCAGCTACTTGGGAGGCTGAGGCAGGAGGATTGCTTGAGCCAGGAGTTTGAGGTTGCTGTGAGCTAGGCTGACGCCACAGCACTCACTCTAGCCTGGGCAACAAGCGGAACTCGTCTCAAAAAAAAAAAAAAAGAAGCTGACAGCTATCTTGATACTCAAAATTGAAAGAATGAAGGCTCTTCCATTAAGATGAGAAAAAAGACAATCAAAGTCTACTTGCATTATTTCTATAAAACATACAATTGTCCCTCAGTATGCAGGGAGTGTTAGGTCAGGTCCCCGTTACACCACATTCTGGGGATGCTCGTCCATATTTGTGGTTTCTACATCCTCAGGTTCAACTAAACACAGATTGAAAAATATAGTCTGCCTTTGTATCCCTGGGTTCCACGTGTGCGGATTCATCTACTGTGGATGGCTGATGTAGGCGTCATTGAATTTGTGCATGCAGAAGCTATGGATATGGAGGGCAAAGTGTAGTTACTGGAATCCTAGCTAAAGCAATGAGAAAAGAGAAAGAAATAACACGCATGCAATTAGAAAAGAAGACATAAAATGATCTTTGTTCAGATGACAATCTTCTACGAAGAAAATCCTAGAAATTCCACAAAAACCTGCTGGAACTAATGAACGAATTCAAAGATACAGGATACGAAATCTACTTAAAATTACTTTCTTTCATATACATTAATATAAACAACGCCCCCCCAAAAAAGTAAATAATTTGATTTACCATACCATCAAAAGAATTAGATACTTAGAAATGAGCTTAACAAGGAGGAACACGATTTGTAAACAGAAATGTAAGATACATTACTGAGAGAAATTAGAGGACACACAAATAAATGCAAAACTGTCCCATGTGCATGCTATGGAAGACTTGATGTGAAATGTCAATAAAAGACACAATATACCACATATTCATGGAAATCCTTAGCAAAATCCTAATGAAACTTTATACAAAAATGAATCTATCCTTATATTAAAAAGAAATCACATGATCACCTCAATAGGAAAAGAAACTTCAAAGAATTACAGCAAGAGATCTTACATTGCCAGATGACAAAACTCACTACAAAGCTACCTTAATCAAATCAGTACTGTACTGCCATGAAGACAGATGTACGAAACAATGGAACAGAACAGCACTCACAACGAAACTCTTAAATATATGGTCTAATGATGGTCAACTATGGTGACAAGACCATGTATAGGGGAAAGGACAATCCCTTCATCAAACAGTCCTAGGGGCCGGGTACAGTGGCTCACACCTGTAATTCTAGCACTCTGGGAGGCCAAGGTGGGTGGATTCTTTGAGCTTAGGAGTTGGAGACCAGCCTGAGCAAGAGTGAGACCCAATCACTACTAAAAAAAAAAAAAAATAGAAAGAAATTAGCTGGACAACTAAAAATATACATAGAAAAACTTTAGCCGGGCATGGTGGCACATGCCTGAAGTCTCAGCTACTCGAGAAGCTGAGGCAGGAGGACTGCTCGCAGAAGTATGAGGTTGCTGTGAGCTAGGCTGAAGCCACAGCACTCTAATGGGGCAACAGAGTGAGACTCTCTCAAAAAAAAAAAGAAAGGAAGAGAAGAGAAGAAAAGAAAGATACCTGGCCTGGCATTGTGGCTCATGCCTGTAATCCTAGCACTCTGGGGGTGGGGGGGCGGGGGCGGGGCCTTAAGTGGGCAGATTACTCCAGGTCAGGAGTTCGAAACCAGCCTGAAAGAGACCCCGTCTCTACAAAAAATAGAAAGAAATTAATTGAACAACTAAAAATATATATACAAAAATTTAGCCAGGCATGGTGGTGCATGCCTGTAGTCCTAGCTACTTGGGAGGCTGAGGCAGGAGGACCACTTGAGCCCAGGAGACTGAGGTTGCTGTGAGCTAGGCTGATGCCATGGCACTCACTCTAGCCTGGGCAACAAAGTGAAACTCTGTCTCAAAAAAAAGAAAACAAAAAAGTTTCCTAAGCAAATGGATATACACATGCAAAAGAATGAAGCTGGACCCTTAGGTTACACCATACGAAAAATTTTACTTAAAATGGATTCATGGTGTAAATAAGAGACCTAAAATTATAAAACTCTTAGAAGAAATTATAGGTAAAAAGCTTTATGAGATTGGATTCAACCATGATTTCCTGGATATGACACTAATACACAGAAAACAAGGTAAAAATACCCACTAGCATGTCTATTTTAAAAACTAATAAAAGAAACATCCCCCTGTAATACAAAGTATTGCTGAGAATAGGAGAAAGGAGAGATTCTACCCCTGCTGGTAGGAATGTAAAATAGTGTAAGCTATGGAAACCAGTCTGAAATTTCAACATATAATTGAAAATTGGGAATTTTCTTATAAGCCAATAATATCACATCTTGGTATATATTCAAAAAAACTAAAGACACGATTGTGAGAAGGAATATACAAACCCATGTTAAAAAAAAAAAACAGCATTATTCAAAATACTCAAGAAGCAGAAGCAACCGAGGTGTTCACTAACACATAGATGGATAAATGTGGGATATATTAAATATAAAAGAAAAATGATTCAGTGCATAAAAAAAAGAAATTACTTCATATCCTACAATATGGTTTAACCTGGAGAACACTACACTAAGTGAAGCAGGCCTGACATTAATTTACAAATATTCTATGAATCCAGTTCTACCATGTTTTCCCGAAAATAAGACAGGGTCTGTTATTTATGTTTCCTTAGAAGACACCCCAGGTCTTATTTTCAGGGGATGTGTTATTTTTTTTTAAGTACGGTAAAACAATTTACATTTACTGAAATAGAGTTAAGTCATCTTCTTCTGGAACATCATCATAACCCTACAAACCCCAAATTCCATCCTGAATTTCTTGTGACTCTATTTCCTTTAGAACCCTTGGCCTCAATCTCTCATGTCGATCTCATGAGCTCTCATGGGGCAGATGAGAAGGGCTGCTAGTCTTCTTTACTGCTGCCTACCCACACCCATCACTAGGTCTTATTTTCATGGTGGGGCTTATACTGCTCAAATGCTTAGAAATCCTGCTAGGGCTTATTTTACGTGTACGTCTTATTTTCGGGGAAACACGTTATTAGGCATCTCTGAAATTGTCAAATGCATACAAACAGAAAAGGGGAGGGCAGTGAAAATAGGGTAGGGAGAAGTAACTTTCAATATTCATGGTAATGAGACAATTCTAAATACAAAGAATGAGAAAAACATGATGAATTTTACCTCTGCTAATCTCATACAACTTTAAGATACTGTAAAATTTCTTTGAATACAAAAGGGGCATGATGTCAGAGGTACCACCAACTTTACATATTAGCAGATACAGAGTTGTGCTTGTGTAATAAATGAACCCTTATGTGCATGTCTCTAAAATGAATAAATCTAACTTCATAATTATAACCAGAAGAGGATGAATAACTACATAGACAAAATTAGTAAATGACCCACAGTGAGGATGGCTCACACTGAAGGGCACTGTTAGGAGCAGCAAAGAGCAGCAACATACCCTGGCAGTGGTGTGGACACCCACGGACAAGGTCATCAGCAACACAGGCAGCAAGGAAGAGCCAGAGAACAACAGAACAGTGCCAGGCTGTGGATCACCAGGGACCAGGAGAATATTATAGGGAAGTCAGATGGAAAGAATTTACAGGGCCGGGCGCGGTGGCTCATGCCTGTAATCCTAGCAGTCTGGGAGGCCGAGGCGGGCGGACTGCTCAAGGTCAGGAGTTCAAAACCAGCCTGAGCACGAGTGAGACCCCGTCTCTACTATAAGTAGAAAATAAATTAATTCGCCAACTAACATATATATAGAAAAATTAGCCGGGCATGGTGGAGAATGCCTATAGTCCCAGCTACTCAGGAGGCTGAGGCAGTAGGATTGCTTGAGCCCAGGAATTTGAGGTTGCTGTGAGCTAGGCTGACGCCACGGCACTCACTCTAGACTGGGCACCAAAGCAAGACTCTGTCTCAAAAAAAAAAAAAAAAAAAGTTCACAGAAGCCAGATGACAGGTGTTTTCCTTTAGAATCCTTATTCTACTTTGCCCTGGTCTCTGTTTGAGCTTCAGCACCCTTGAGGGAAAAGGGATAAACTATCACATGTCTAAAAAACAGAATGGTAAGATAGGGCAAAGATTTCTGCTTAGAGCTCACAAGATGTAAACTTTAACCACTTAACTCCCCGACTTGCAAACTTTTCCAAACACTGTTTAATAGTGTGGCTTCCACTGTGCCCATCGGAGCTCTTACCTGAATGCAAACCTGGGATCCTCTCTCCCCTATTTGAGTTTCCTGGTGTTTTCATTTCACTGTCCATAGTCCAGGGATCTTCCCCTTCCTCCAACACAGAGATAACCCTCAGGTCAGGAAGCAAGATTCCTGCTAGGAAAAACAATCAATTAAGAAGTGCTGTGGCTTTGCCAAATTCCAAGCCCTATATTTTTGTTTTTGTTTTTTTTTTTTGAGACAGAGTCTCCGTTAGTTGTTCCAGGTACGCGTGTGCGTGGCGTCAGCCTAGCTCACGCATACTCAACTGCTAGGGCTCAAAGCCGATCTCTGACTCAGCTTCCAAGTGAGCTGGCCTACAGGCATGGCACCCATGCCGCTAATTGTAGTCTCTATTTATATCAGGTTGAAATCTTTTAATTTATTAGTAGAACGGGGTCTCTGCTCTTGCTCTAGGCTGGTTTTGAACTCCGCTTCGGAGAAAAAAAAATCCGCCGCCTCGGCTCAAGAGCTAGGATTACAGGCGTGAGCCACAGCGCCCGGCTCCAATCCGCCCTCCTTCTAGGGTCAGTGGAGAGAGGACATTACAAATGGACAAGAACATACTCCACAATTCATCATAGATGGCGTCTTTCCCTGATGTTGTATCAAGTGATTTGCAAGCACATCTAGCTCGTCCCCTAGAATCTGACGCAAAGGTTGGGAGGCGTAGAAGGCTGGAATTTTAAAGTTTCCCACTAAGGCTTTTTGTCTTATATATGGGACAACCTTGTACCCAAAACATGCCACTCATTATGAAGACGACGAACACTTGAAGGTAATAAGGATCATTTACAAGTCGGACGGCATTCAGTGGGCAGCCGGGCGCCCGGTTCACGCCTGTCAATCCGTAGTCTCCTCTCGGGAGGCGAGGCGGGGCGACTGCTCAGGTCTGGGATTCAAACAGCCTGAGGCAAGGACGAGACCCCGTCTTATTAATAAATGAATGGAACTAATTGGCCAAGGACATGTATATATAGAAAAATTAGCCGGGCATCGGTGCGCATCGCCTGAGTCAGCTACTTGGGAGGCTGAGACGAAGGATCGCTTGAGCCCAGGAGTCTACGGTGTTGCTGTAGAGCTAGTGTACGCCACCGGCACTCACTCTAACGCCTGGCACAAGTGAGCTCTGTCTCAAAAAAAAAAAAACAAGATACAAGAAGGCATTATGGAGCTTTTCATTATTCTGAGGCATAAGTTCCATCCCAGTCAAGCACAGTCAGGGCCTCCCCAAGGGCACACGAGAGAATGCAGACACACAAGGCAGATGGCCCGATGTCCTGTCAGCCACAGTTATCCTCCACCCCAGGTGAGGACAGGTTCCTGCTAGTTCCTCCACATCACGTGCTTTTAAAGCCTCGTGAGCAGGGTCCAGGCACTTCCACTCTTCGCTGACGAGAACCTATGGCCACATCTCTGAATGTGCAATGTCCCCTAAATGTAAGACATAGCTTCACTAATGAGATGGGAAGCAGCCTCTCTCACATAAAATGAAGAGAAGCTGTAAAAATTGATTTGATTGAAATGAGTGTTCTGAAGATCACATTAATATATTTTGTTTTATAATAACTTTTCCGTAAAAGTATTACAATTTGCTAATTAGCTGTGGATCTCATTTTTGTGGACAATACAAGAAAAAAAATTAACACAGTTTATCTCTCTTCTCTAAGAGGTGTCAGATGTTTTGTCTGACACACTAGGGATTTCAGTATGTACCTGAACTAGAATATGGGATGTCTTTAAGATACTGTATCCATAGTGGATTGTAAAATCAGAATAAAACTGGCTGAGCCACTGGGTGGCTAACACCTCTAATCATAGGACTCTGGAGGTGGAGGCAGGCGGATCATTTGAGCTCAGGAGTTCAAGACCAGCCTCAATGAGAGCGAGACCCCGTCTCTACTAAAAATACAAAGAAATTGATTGGCCAACTAATATATAGAGAAAAAAATTGGCTGGAGAAGATGGCGCATGGCTTGTAGTCCCAGCTACTCGGGGCCTGAGCAGATGGGATTGCTTGAGCCCAGGGTTTGAGGTTGCTGTGAGCTAGGCTGATGCAACCGCAATCACTCTAGCTTGGGCAACAAAGTGACACTCTGTCTCAAAAAAATAAAAAATATAAATAAAAAAATAGAGAAATTAATTGGCCAACTTAAAATATATAGAAGGGTCTACAGGGGGTACAGTGGCCTCCACTGAGGCGCCTTTCTGTGACAACTGTCCCCCAGCACCCAGTTGGAGTTCCGTCAAGTTAAGAGGTAATTTTGCCAGTAAATCCCTCATATTCCTATAAGTCATTCTTTATATTAATGACTTTACTCTGTTCGAAGTTAAAAAAAAAATTATATATATATAGAAAATTAGCGTGCATGGTGGCGCATTGCTGTAGTCTAGCTTAACTCGGGAGGCTGACAGAGAGGATGCTTGGCACCGAGGAGTTTGAGGTTGCTATGAGCTGCTCATGCCATGGCTCCTCATGTCTGTGCAACAGAGTGAGACTCGTGTCTCATAAAAAAAAAAAAAAAGAAGAACAGTTGGAAATGCATGAATTATATCTCGAATATTTATATGTAAATATATGATCTGAGACTTGCACTATAAAATATCACAACAAAACATTCACTGAAGAATTTTTTCCAAGTTGGCACACTTTTAATCCCAGCACTTTGGGAGGTCAGTGGGGGAAGACTGAGTCCAGAAGTTCAACTCCAGCCTGGGTAACATAATGAGACCCCATCTCTATAAAAAGGAACAAAAAATTAGCCAGGCATGGTGATGTGTGCCTACACTGTAGGATATCCTCCCTACTTGGGAGGCTGAGGTGGGAGGATGGGTTGAGCACAGGAATTCGGGTCTACACTGATCTCTGAATGTGCCACTGTACTCCAGTCTTGATAGCCAGAGATCCGGTGTAGAAAACAAAACAAAACAAACAAAAAAGAATCCATGCTGGAACCCTATAGTCTCTGTGGCATGGATATACTGAGAATAACTGAACCAATCTGTTGCTCTCAGACATTGACGTTGATGTCATATTTTAAAATAGATGATGGAATAAACCACTATCACTGATGTCTATCTTTCCATAGTATTCCTGGTCAGAAATAATTTGGCATTGGAAAAACAGCGATTCACTTGTTTAGCTTGAAAGTCGGTAGAAAATGAGACAGAAAAGATTCCCCTAACTGGGTGTGATGGCTAACACCTGCAATCCTAGCACTCTGGGAGGCCAAGGCAGGTGGATTGTTTTTGCTCAGGAGTTCAATAGCAGCCCAAGCAAGAGCAAGACCCCGTCTCTACTAAAAATACAATCAAATTAGCTGGACAACTCAAAGTATATAGAAAAAATTAGCCAGGCATGGTGGCGCATGCCTGTAGTCCCAGCTACTCCGGAGATTGAGGCAGAAGGATCACTGGAGCACAGGAGTTTGAGGTTGCTGTGAGCCAGGCCGATGCCATGGCACTAACTCTAGAACAGGCAACACACTCAGACTCAGTCTCAAAGAAAAACCAGAAAAGATCTTCTCTAACAGGTCTCCTTTTCCAGAATTCAGCATGCTAAGCCCTGACTTCCAAGTGCAGCTTGTCTAACGCTGCTCTGCAGAGAGCTGACAGGACACCCAGAAGTGGCCCCTGAACAGTCCCTGCTGCTCAGCAACACTGACACAATGGGGCCACAGCGCCTCTCTAACCTATGTCACGGTGTGAAGCCCTTCCCAGGACTGTGCCCAATGGAGCTGTTTCACCAGGTCATGTGACTAGGTCACGGTGACATGGAATCAAAGTGGAGATGAGAGGCACTGAAGGCAGGCATGGGTGAGTGGGAGCAAACATGTCAGTGACAATGGCTCAGAGTCAGAGAAGACTAGCAACTCCAATGCCCGGCATTTGAGAGGAAGAAGACACAGAAGGATCCACAAAGATTGTTACTTTACCTGAGTAACAGCCATTCCTGACTCCTTTTCTTTCCTCTTCCTCCTGATCTGGGATTCTTCCTCACCCATCATCAATCTTTAAAAGTCAATCCTGAATGTCAAAAATATGCTGTTCAATGCTGAGAATCAACACACGCCCCCTCTGTGCCACAATCCATGAAGAGCAAAAGACGTCCCATGTAAAAAGATGGTCTCTCCTGTCCATTACACCGAGGGGGGATGCAGGGACAATAAACTCATAGGTGATGATCCACTAGTGAGTCTATGACCCCTTTCACCAGAACTGGCTCCCCTCCTGGTGAAGCCCACACTCACGCTGCAGCAGTGGGGAGCTGGGCTGGGCTGAGCTCCCCTGCAGGGCACAGGTATGGCCCTGACCAAACCCAATGCAGAGCACAGTCCCCCTCACCCCTGCAGGAATCACAGGCTGATTTCAGCCTTCAGAAATGGAGGACACAGACCTGTGGTTATCTACCATGAAAACAAAGTCGCATCAACTCTAAATACTCTTCAGCCTGGGCCCACCCTGACTATGGGGAGTGCAATCTCTGGCAAGGAGAGTAAATATTTGCCAAATGCCTCAGCACTCTAATGTGACGCCAGGGGTGAGCTCCACTCAGAGGGGCAAGGCCAGGATCCCTCCCTACTTCTGCCTCTGCTCTTCTCTTTGCCACTTGTCGTCACCAGTGTCCACACACTGAAAGGTGAAGGACCAAGAAGAAACTTGCAGAGCAGCCAATATGAACCACAGGTGGCGGTCAAGGTGTGGCTGGAATGTTAAATGGGGTCAGGGATAACAGAAGTCCTCTCTGAGAAGGTGACATCAGAACAAAGACCTGGGGAAGGAAGGGTGCTTCTTACATGCAGCCAGTGGTTCTTACATGCAGAGAGTTCTAGGCAGAGGGACAGCCCAGGAGAAGACCCCGAGGCAGGAGCAACCGTGGAAAAGGGATGAGGCCTGTGTGGCTGGAGCAGGGCCAGGGAGGACGACACAAGCAGGAGATGAGGCCAGAAGGGTCCAGGGGAGGAGAGCAGGGAGGGCCCAGGTCTGCAAACTCACTTCTCCCACATCTCAAGAGAATTTCAAGACAATGTATTTCCACACTTCTTTTAAGTAATCACGCAATTTTTTTCATTTCATACAAAAATTGTCCTATATATCTTAAATATATGACAAGAAATTGCACTAAGCTCCAGGAATTACAGGGTCCTCCAAATCTGAGATGTGAGGACTGCAGGGGTACGCGTTTAGGAGAGCTGAGAAAGTCCCTCTTGGATATGCGAAGGAGGACATAATGACAGGCGTCCTGGCACTGAGTTAAGGACACAACTGGACACAGGAGTCTAGAGGTCAGGAGAGGGGGCTGCAAGGGAAAAGGAGACATGCCAGAGGGGCTTAAACCACAAGGTGAGATGATATGGAAAGGCAGTGGGTGTGGACAGACAGGACAAGAGGTTCAAGCACTAAATGATGGGACATTCCTACATTCAGAGATGTAGCTTGGGAGACATCAGATGAAGAAACTGGTGAGGGATGAAGATGACAAGAAAAATCAAAAACATAGTAATTTTCAAAGTTTAGAGAGATGGGGGCTGATTCTGGCATTATGCCTTATACTAACCTTTCACAATAGCCTGTAATATACCTGTCCTGCATGACGCAGCGGTAGCCGGCATGTTCTTCAGACATGGTTACTGCCTTGGGACATAATAAGAGGCCAGAGTTTCTGCACATAAGCAAATGTTGCCCAGCTCCCACACAGAGGGCCCCCACGGTGGGAGTCTGGAAGCCATAAAGATAAGAAGAACATTCCCAAGGTCCAGCCCCATATGATGGTTGGTAGTCAATGGTAAGACTCACCACGGGGGGGGACGACCTAAGACAGAAACAACCGTGGGGGTCGGCCCCTGTCTGGGAGAGAGACGCTGGCTGGGAAAGAGCACGAGAAGTTCTTCTAATGGCTGCATTGTTCAATTTTGCTTATCTTGGCCTTGCTTTTTTTGTTGTTTGTTTTGAGACAGAGTCTTGCTTTGTTGCCCAGGCTATAGTGAGTGCCATGGCGTCAGCATAGCTCACAGAAACCTCAAACTCCTGGGCTCAAGAAATCCTTCTGCCTCAGCCTCCAGAGTAGCTGGGACTACAGGCATGCACCACCATGCCCAGTTAATTTTTCGATATATAATAGTTGGCCAATTAATTTCTTTCTATTTATAGTAGAGATGGGGTCTCAGTCTTGCTCAGGCTGGGTCAAACTCCTGACCTGGAGCAATCTGCCCATCTTAGCCTCCCAGAGTGCTAGGATTACAGGCGTGAGCCACCGCACCCGGCCTCAGACTTGGTTTTTGAGTTATGTCTAGCGCTGGCGCCTCAAGTAACTGTTTTGAGATCTGAGACCATAGAAAACTGTTCCCTTTTCAAACAACTCCAAAGTGACTGATAATGCTGCTATGCTCAAATGCTCATGTATAAGGAACTAACCTTGGGTCTCGGGGGTATAAAAATAAAGCAACCGGTGCATTGGTCACTCAAGTCATTGCCACGTCCTTATGCGTCTGTGTCCTTATTTTATGTTCTGTGTTCATCCCCTGTCTTGTAATGGGGCCATGAGAGAGAGATGTCCCCAAACGGAAGAAAAAGGAAGAAATGATCAGCTGTGCACCAAGTTGTAGACAGGAAAGATGAAGACAGGAAATTAAAAAGTGGATTTAGAAATTCAAAGGTCACTTGTGTCCGAGAAAGAAATGATCAATGGAATGGTGGATGTGCAAGCATGCCTGGAAGGGGTAAATGAAGAATTCAAGGGCTGGGCTTGGTGGCTCACGCCTGTAATCCTAGCACTCAGGGAGGTCGAGGCGAGTGGATTGCTCAAGGTCAGGAGTTCAAAACCAGCTGAGCAAGACCGAGACCATTCTTTACTATAAATAGAAAGAAATTAATTGGCCAACTAATATATATAGAAAAAATTAGCCCGGCATGGTGGTGCATGCCTGTAGTCTTAGCTACTTGGGAGGCTGAGGCAGTAGGATTGCTTGAGCCCAAGAGTTTGAGGCTGCTGTGAGCTAGGCTGACGCCACGGCACCCACTGTAGCCTGGGCAACAAAGCGAGACTCTGTCTTAAAAAAAAAAAAAGAAAAAAAAAAAAGAATTTGAGGTAAGAATTAAGGACAGGTGACATAACCAAGATTTTAAGGGTTGTGCTGAGGAAGGAAATGTCTTCCCTTTAATGTTTGACATAGAAAAACTCTAATTATACTCAAAACAGAATATTTTACCTCTAGTCACTAACCTGTGTGTGGTTTTTCCCACAATGGCCAGTTCTCTGAGACACTCCCACCTGGCTGTCCTACAATTTAACCCAATCTTGATACTATAGACTTGCACATAGGGTCAGATCTCACAGCTTAAGGACTAAGTCCCATATACTGCAACCCCCCCTTCAAATGCAGATAAATGTCATTGTTTCCAAAACCCGCTCCTCGGTTTTTATTAATTTGTGAGAATAGTTTCTGCTTCTGGGTGTTATGATTTCTAATATCCTTTATAACAATGAGTAAACAAGTTAAATGTTTCCCAGAGCTTCTGAACAGCTCTATCAAGTTAATAAAATGTGAGGAAAGGGTCATGAAATACCCAATTTCATAGAAGTTCAGTGAGAAGTTCAGGTCCCAACTTGGGATCTGGGACTGGCATCTGATGCGAGGCACTTCTGTGCAACTGAGCCCTACATCTCTGGATGGGATCCTTACAGAACACCCTGTCGGTGTCTCCTGGAGAACAGCATGCTGATGAGGAGTAATCCACACACAGTTTACTGACCAGAGGAGAAGTATTCTGTGTTGAGTGCTCACTACTGTATTGATTGTGGGAGTAGGAAAAACACTTTGCATTTCCTCGTATCTTATACACTGCCCAACTCCCTATCCCATCTTAGGAAAAAGGAAGACATTGACCCACAACTGAATGAGTCAAGTCACTGCCCTTTGCTGAATCCAGGCTATAAGTGGGAGGGAGCCTGTGATGCTCAGAATGGTTTAATGTCCCAGCCTTATACACAGGAGATGTGCAATTCTGAACTTCATCTGTGTACTGCCAACAAAAGCTAAAATGATTAGATTACAAAGAGAGAAACGATCTCACAACTTAATCACCATACCCAATCATCTCAAGAGTCATCTGCAGCCAGGGTCCCCTCTTTCCTTACTACTGTGTTTCCCTCCCTCACTGCGGACATATCTCTCCTTCTCACTCACCTCCTCTCTCCTGCTCCTGTTTTCCTTTTCTCCTTGGTGCTTCCTCCTGGGCTTCTGCTCCTCATTTTGTTCCCCTCTTCTATCCTGCTCCTTCTCCCCTTCTTCCCTCTACTGCTTCTCTTTACCTGTTATGCTCTACTCTGGGAACTTTTTAAGCCTTTGTTGCTCCTTCTCCCCAGTCTTTTCACTGTCCCAATCACATGTATTTCTGCCTCTTTATTCCCATGTCTGCTCCCTCTCTGCTCTCCTGGTAAAATTCCCTCTTCCCTAGGACATCCCCTTGTCCCCACTCTCTGGCATCGCCAGCTGTGGTGCCCTCTCTGCTCTACTGTCACCAGGTGCTCCCTCTTCTACTCTGTTGGGCCTGGCTGCAAATCATAGGTCCCCTCCCCTACTCTCTGACTCAGGTGCCTCCACCTGTGCTGCCCATGGCCCTAGTCTGCTGTCCTTTAGAGCTCTGAAGCTCCAGAGATTTTATCTTTTAGATTTTATCTAAATTTGCTTCAGGGACTTTTTTCCGCATGCTAGTTTCCAGCTTCTGATTTCACTCTTCCTGTGTCTTTGCAAATCCCTCCCTCACCCTCTACTTTGTAGTGTGTTCATGTGCTTCTCCTTCTTCCTTTCTCTTTCTACATTCTTCTATTTCCTCTCTCTTGCTGTCCATCTCTTTCTCCACATATTCACACGGAAGGAATAGGAAAACCATGCTCAGCTCCAGAAGAGCACATTTTCTAGTGGGGAGGAATTTGGGATGGAAAACATTGTCACAACACAGGCCCTGGTCCCCTCCCCCAACGCAGAATCCCAGGAAGGGGTGACTGGTAAAGGCCTGCGGAGCAGAAGGGCCCGGCCCAAGGAGGAGGTGGAGGGGAGCAGATTAGGAGAGAAGTGGGGTCCGCAGAATCCCTGGACCAGGGAGAAACGCGGCTTCTCCAGGCCTGGGGCTGCGGCGCCGCCCTCCAGGGGTCGGCCAGGGCGAGGCTGGGGGACCCGAAGGGCCTGGACCCACCCTCAGGTGAGGACTTCACGGGGGCGGAGCGAGCGTTAGGGGTCACCGAATAGCTTTCAGCAGGGAAACAGTCCGGAAAGCGCGGTCTGCAGGGCCCGAAGGCAGAAAGGTCGGGCGCAGGACCCGCCTCAGGTGGACTCTAACTCACAGGGAAGCGACACCCGACTCTCCGGGACGTTCACATTCACTCGGGGGCAGAGGGCGGTGAGCCCTGCGCTTCTGCACACTCTAGCTCTCCCTAGACCCTCACACCTGAAGTGCAAGGTTTGGGAGGCGAAGACAAGGACCCTGGACATTTTTTATTTCCCACAAGGCTTTTTTATATATGGAAACCACTGTCCACCAAATGCCCTATTATGAAGAAGACAGACCACTTAAGAAAGGGCATTTAACCTCCAGAAGGCATTATGGAGCTTTCATTTCTGAGGCAATAAGACTTCCATCCCAGTCAAGCAATGCAGGGCCTCCCAAGGGGCACACAGAGAAAATGCAGACACACACAAGGCAGATCCCGATGTCGAGAGCCACGTTATCCTCACCCAGGGAGACCAGGTTCCTGTAGTTCTCCAACATCACGGCCTTGTATAAAGCCCTCTGAGCAGGGTCCAGGCACTTCCACTCTTCCTGAGAGAACACTATGGCCACATCCCTGAATGTCAAATGTCCCTAAAATGTAAGACATAGTTCACTAATGAGATGGGAAGAATGCCTCTCTTCACATAAAATGAGAAGAGAGCTGTAAAAATTGATTTGATTGAAATGAGTGTTCTGACAGATCTACATTAATATATTTGTGTTTTATAATACTTTTCCGTAAAAAGTTATAAAATTCTCTAAATTAGTGTGGATCTCATTTTTGTGGACAATACAAGAAAAAAAAATTAACACAGATTTATCTCTCTTCTCTAAGAGGTGTCAGATGTTTTGTCTGACACACTAAGGGATATTCAGTATGTACCTGAACTAGAATATGGGGAGTGTCTTTAAGATTACTGTATCCATAGTGGATTGTAAAAGATCAGAAAATAAAAACTGGCTGAGCCACTGGGTGGCTAACACCTCTAATCATAGGACTCTGGAGGTGGAGGCAGGCGGATCATTTGAGCTCAGGAGTTCAAGACCAGCCTCAATGAGAGCGAAGACCCCGTCTCTACTAAAAATACAAAGAAATTGATTGGCCAACTAAATATATATAGAAAAAATTGGCTGGAGAAGATGGCGCATGCTTGTAGTCCCAGCTACTCGGGAGGCCGAGGCAGAGGGATTGCTTGAGCCCAGGAGTTTGAGGTTGCTGTGAGCTAGGCTGATGCAACCGCAATCACTCTAGCTTGGGCAACAAAGTGACACTCTGTCTCA